GGAAGCTTTAGAGAAGGAAGTAAGCAGCCTATTGGGACACAAAAGAAGGATAGGTACTATTGTACCTTTTGCAAAATCCCTGGACATTCTTTGGAAAGGTGCTTCAAAGCTAATCCAGGCAAACCTACGTGTACTTATTGTCAAGTCCCTGGACATACGGCAGATAAGTGTTTGAAGTTGCATGGTTATCCTACGAGGCATAAATCTGATGGGAAGAATAAAGCTTATGTGAATCAAGTTTCTGCAGCTATAGGATTTAGTAAATGACAAACCTCAATTTTCATTAACTCAGGAGCAATACTCTCAGCTTTTGGCACTCCTAAGGCCTACCTCTAGTGATCAAGCTTTTATTCCTACAACAAACAATGTTCAAACCATTATCAGACCTTCAACCTCAGATGGAAATGCCCACAAAGTATCTAGTATATCCTTATGTTTGTCTGCTTTTAATTCAAAAACTTCTAATGTTTTAGGTGTTCCTTGGATCTTAGATACTGGAGCAACAGATCAAGTGGTTTGCTCCAGCTCACTATTTGTATCTATTCAAGCTCATGTTTTATCTTCAGTGGTACTACCAAATGGTAAAAAAGTACTTGTCACCCATATAGGGATAGCCAAAGTCATGAAATCCATTTCACTTCGTAATGTCCTTTGTGTTCCTAATTTCTCTTTCAATCTGATCTCAACTAAGAAAATGGCTCAAGAACTAAACTGTTGTCTTGTGTTTTTTTTTGTGATTATGGTTATATTCAGGACCTTTCGACTTGGAACACGATTGGGATGGGTGAAGTGAAGCAAGGACTTTACCATATGCTACAAAAGGAGATCTCCCCTTCATCTTTATCAGAAGCTTTGTCTAAATTCAACCTGAAAACTAGCATTTCTGCCTCTGTCAGCAACCATACTAGATCATTTGATCTATAATTCTTCTTACTCTGAATTCAAGATAGCTGATTATGTTCAGATTTCTAAATCATCTATTGATAAGCTTTGTCTCATTTGTCCCTTGGCTAGACAACACAAATTACCTTTTCCTATAAGTCAGCAAAAAACAAGAAAAAGTTTTGAACTAGTACATTGTGATATTTGGGGTGCTTGCAATGAAATCACCCATGATGGTTCTAAATACTTCTTAACTATTGTAGATGATTTCAGTAGGTGTACTTGGACTTGTAGTTGAAACTAAAAACAGAAGCGAGCAACACTTTGCAAAGTTTCTGCAATATGGTAGAAACTCAATTTGGAACAAAAATAAAAACCATTCGAAGTGATAATGGAAAAGAGTAGACATGAGAGGTTTTTTCTTAAAAAGAGGAATCATACATCATAAAACATGTGTGAAAACGCCTCAACAAAATGCTATTGCTGAAAGGAAACATCAACACATTTTAAATGTAGCAAGAGTATTAAAATTTCTAAGTGGGATTTCTTTAAAGTATTGGAATCATTGTGTTCTCACAGCTGTATATCTCATCAATAGGACCCCAAGTCCATTGCCAAATGATAGAAGTCCCTTTGAAATACTGTTCAAAACCAAACCTAACTATACACATCTCAAAGTTTTTGGTTGTTTGGCCTTTGCCACCACCCTTGCCAATGGAAAGCACAAATTCGATCCTAGGGACAGAAAGTACGTGTTCATCAGATATCCTTTTGGTATCAAGGGATATAGACTACTGGACCTAGACACTAAGAAAATTTTTATTTCTCGAAATGTTATCTTCTATGAAACTATTTTCCCTTTCAAAGATTATAATATCAGCAACGTTGATATTTTATCAAATCCAAATGAACGCATTTTCACCCAAGATCTAGATATTTTAATTCCTAACCCTCTAGTTAACAATGATCCCTTTCCTGAAAACAATCAAAATACTAGTTCCGAAAAGCCAATAATTGCAGAACCACCTGATTCGCAAACAAATGAGATGGTTAGCTCCATTGATCAACCAACACCTGAACCAGAAATTGACTAAGACATTCCCCAACATTTATCGTGAAGGTCAACCAGAATAAGAAAAGCTCCAGCATACTTGCAAAACTACATATGCGAGCAGGCTACTTCACTTCTCCCATCTCAAAGTTAGGTAAGCAGAAGGTCCAAATCCAGTCAGGTAATCCATTCCCTCTTAGTGCTTGTGTGTCTTACAATAAATTGTCTTCATCATACAAAGCCTTTGTGACTTCAATGACTTCCCAAGAAAAACCTAGGAATTATCTTGAAGCTAGAACATCTCCTGAATGGAGAAATGCAATGAAAGCTGAGATTAAGACTCTTGAGTTGAATGATACATGGTGGTTGTTGATTTACCTCTTAACAAAGAAGCAATAAGCTGCAAATGGGTTTACAAAATTAAGTTTAAAGCTAATGGGAGTATAGAAAGGTACAAGGCAAAGCTTGTGGCAAAATGATACACACAACAAGAAGGCTTGGATTATCATGAAACTTTTTCACCTGTAGCAAAAATGGTTACTATTAGGACACTATTGGCTGTTACAGCAATGAAATGATGGTTTCTATATCAATTCGATGTTAATAATGCCTTCCTACACAGAGACTTGGAGGAGGAAGTGTACATGAAATTACCACCTGGATACCGTAATGAGAATGACAGGAAAGTATGTAAGCTTAACAAAAGTCTTTATGGACTTAAGCAAGCTTCACGCCAATGGTACTCAAAACTCTCTAGCTTTATCATTCAACAGAGATATTCTCAATCTAGGGCAGATTATAGTTTATTTACAAACTCAATACATGCTTCTTTCACAGTTGTTTTAGTGTATGTAGATGACATAATAGTTGCTGCAAATTGTATGAAGACAATCAATCAGTTGAAATACTTACTTGATGACAAGTTCAAAATTAAAGACCTTGGGGAGCTTAAGTACTTCCTTGGAATTGAGGTGGCAAAGTCAGCAAAAGGAATTTATTTATGCCAACGAAATTATGCACTAGATATTTTGTCACATTCAGGCACTATTGGTTCAACTCCATCCATAATTCCTTTAGACCAAAATATCAGATTATCTAAAGAAGATGGAGAGATCCTTCGAGAACCCGACGTTTATAGGAGGTTGATTGGCAGGCTTTTATATCTCGCGATAACAAGACCTGACTTAGCATACTCAGCTCAAATGCTAAGTCAATTTATGGACAATCCTCGGTTGCCACTCTTGCATGCAGTCCACAAAGTGCTAAGGTATGTTAAAAGAGCTCCATGACAAGGATTGTTCTACCCAACAAATAGAGAGATTCAACTCAAAGGCTATAGTGACTCAGACTGGGATGCATGTCCAGATACAAGAAGGTTGGTGACAGGTTACTGTGTATTTTTAGGAAGCTCTTTGGTATCTTGGAAATCAAAGAAACAAATCGTAATGTCCAGATCCTCTGCAGAAGCAGAGTATAGAGCAATGACTAATGTTTGTTGCGAGTTGACTTGGTTCGGGTATTTATTGAGAGACCTACATGTTTCACATTCCCAGGCTGCCCTTTTGTATTGTGATAACAAGTCAGCAATACATATTGCCACAAATCCTGTATTCCATGAGAGAACTAAACACATAGAGATTGATTGTCACTTAATTCGAGATAAAATTCAAGAAGGAGGCATTTTGACAAAACATGTAACTAGTAGTTCACAAGGGGCAGACATCTTCACTAAGAGCTCAGGCTCGAAAAACTTTTATTCGTGTATGCTCAAGATGGGAGTTGTAGACATCTACACTCCATCTTGCGGGGGTTGTTGAAGAATGGAAGAGAAGCTGAGTTGCACAAGTAGGCCTATAACAGATTGAAAAGTCAGCCCATAACATATCATTACACAGCCCCATGGACAAGTAGCCCATAACAGATCATTAGAAGTCCAGATGGATCTAGAGAAGAAGAATAAACGGAGGCTTCCAACAGCAAAATAAAAGAAATGTGCTGTTAGAGAAAGTTGTTATGCAAGTTGTTGTATATATTGAAATTCATTTTTTGTATGTATATATATTCTATTTTTGGTTAGAGTTAGTTAGAATTGATTCGTTTCGACTCCTATAAATTCAGTCATCGTATAACCTTTAAAGATACGAAAAGTAGATTGAAGTTATAATCAAAATTCTCTGTTGTTTCTTCAAATATTCATTCCTGCATTCTAGCCTTGCAATAGCTCACATCAAAAATCTTATAACGATGCCATATTTTCCATCTTCTAGCATCAGACATTCACGACACACATTGGAGAGAAATGAGTTTTCTGTCGGAGGATAATAGAGAATGGAAAACAGCGTGTAAAAGGTTGCAAGCCCATTCATTTTTTTTTCAAGCAGTGCAACGTCCTATTGTGGTCTAATTTTTTTATTTTTTTAAAAAAAATGTCATGATGATGTCATCAAAACAATCCTGTTTGAACCAGTAGATGTACTTAAAAATTGTTCACAGAACAACTACAGACAACACGCAACAGTAGCGTAGGTGGTTATTATTTGCAATAAATATTCACATCAGGCTCACTCCCATGTGAGAGTTCTGTGAAACTTCTGGCAATTATTTTTCTGTACACAAGGAATTACTCATCCTGTTTTGGACGAAAGTGTCAAAAGTGCGATTTGGATTCACTCTTAGTAGTTCGTACTTGTTGATGTAGAAATACAGAAAAAAGAAAGAAAATAACAAAATAAAATAAAAATTACAATAAGGCTTCGTTTGATTATCATTTTTCTAAGAATAAAAATGAAAAATATAGTCATTGCAATATTCACGTAAGAAATAAAAAGTCTAATATAGTGGTTTGATGTGATGAATAATGATCATTTTTTTATTTTGTGGTTAAAGAATGAAAATCAAATCGAAACTAATACTCCTGAATCTTTCAAATTTAACAAACAAGTCATCTTCCCCCGAAGACTTTTAAGGGAAAAATAAAAAATAAAAATCTACCCACAAAGTTTACCAAGCTTAGTAATAGCCAACCTTTTTGGACCGCCCTATGTAGAAAACTGTCGTTTTGTCCAAAATATGTGGCATCAAATTATTTTCTCTTCCTTTTCCTTTTCCGTTCCATTTTCCTCTCCTCTGTTTCATCAAGATTCCATTCTTTCTCAGATTCTTCTCTTTCCATAACCATGCCTGAAGCATCTGCCTTATGTTTTTCCACCTTCTCCTCAATTCCCCTCCCCAAGGAACCCATTTCCTGTCCCTCCACTTCTTTCCCTCACCGTAAATTTCCTGCCCATCGCCCTCAATACCGTTCCCTCCGGCTTATTGCCAACGCCTCCGGTTCGGATCATTTTCTTGGTGATGGAGATTTTTTCGGGTTCTATCCCTGGGAGTCTTCCGATGCTGGAGACTCTTGTATGTTTTTCAATTTTTCCCTAATCTTTTGTTTATTGGGCATGGTTGATTATGTTTACGTTGAATTCGCTGAATTATGTCTTGAGGATTGAAATTCGGTGGCAGAATTGAGATTATATGTAATTTGCATTTGAATATTTTGTATGATATTTCCATTCTCTAATGATTTGCAAGGAGAAATTTCTGGGGTTTGGATGTAAGCCGAATAGGACAGTATAGAGCTTATTTATGAATGTTGATTATGTTAGTCTTCGAGGTTTCTAGTTCAAAAATGTTACATTCTTGGTAGTTTTATCAATGCAATGATTTTGGATTTGTATATGTTGTTGGTTCTTCCATTTGCAGCTATACACTGGGTCCCAGAGGAGAGGGTCACATTGTTTACTGCTGATGGTTTGATTCAAATTGGAGGGAACCTTGTCCCACGTCGAATTTCTTCTTCTGATGTATGTTCTTTCTGCAATGCACAAACATATAATTTTGGATTATGAAAATGGATTGGATTTTGGTTACTTAAATGTTAAATCATATATAATGAAAACTGGTTACTGAAAATTCAACTTTTGCAGATAATCATAGTGTAATGAAATTTGTTGTGCAAAGTAAGTAGAAACTTTAAAAATTTTACGATTTAATCAGATTTTAAATGCAAAACCACATATATTTTTGGTTATAAACAAATGACCTTTGATGTTTCCAATCACTGGAAATTAGCCAATGGTCAAATGTTTTTCTGCATTACCATTTACGATCTTCTAAATCAAACCTACTAGCTTTTAGTGGTACTTTCTGATGCATTACTTTGTAAGCATAATTTATGACATATTTTATTTGCTTCTCAACAAAAAAAGATATAAAATATAAGCATGACATTACCATCATTGCAAAACACAATGTGCTCCATCTTTTGCCTCTGCCAATTTATGATTATCTTCCTTTTTGCATATGGTAACACCGAAACACAAAAAAGCAATAATAGCATATTAGCTTAAGGAATTTAAATGTGTCGGTTCTTACTTTATCTTTACACTTCGATATGCACTCTTCTAACCCTCATCTCTTAACGAATCAACAATTTTAGCTAACTCTTTATGTAGTTTACTTTCCAGAAAAAGCAAGGGAAGGTTAAAATGTCACAAAGATTTCAACGGTTTCAGGAAAGTAATTACATGGATCCAAGACAAGGTCTATGTTTGGGTGCACTCTTTGACATCGCAGCAACAAACGTAAAAAAAAAAAAAAAATTATACATTTTTAAGATTAATTTTTGGCGTTTCAATCATTTATGACATCTGAGGGAATTGGTCTGTGCCAGGGACTTGATATGGGCAGAAGACTTTGTATCTTCGGGTTTTGTCGCTCTGTTGAGATGCTCAGTGATGTTGTGGAAGATACTGTTTTGGAGCATGGTGGGGAGGTATATTCTAGTATCTATCTTTTAGAATTTCTTTGGATAGAATGTGTATTGTTGTGGCAGATTGGAACACTGGTTAGACTCGCTCAGGTCTTTTTGACTAAGAGGAGTATTTAGGCCTTCAGCATCTTGTCACTCAATGGAAAAAACATTTCATATTTCTTTCCAATCCTCTGTTTTATATTTTTAGACAAAAGTTTTCATAAACTACTACTCGTATTTCTTTCCTTCAGAGAAACATTTATAGTTTGGCTGCTTCTTTTTATAAATCATTTGGCTTCTTCTTTTTATAAATCATGGGCTAATTGGTATAAAGCAAGGCTAGCGACTATTAAATCATGTTTGGAAAGTGTTTATAAAAGGCTTAATTTATAAATACATAGAAATGAGTGGTGGATAAGTCGGTAGTACTTGTGAGTCATGTGTGGATAAAAAGTGGCTTGAGTGTTTATAAACTATTTGATAATATGAGCCGAACATAGGCTTAGTTTATAAATCCATAGGTCAGGAGTTAGATTGTTGGGATACATCATGTAAGGGGATGTCATAGTTCGATTTCACATACAAGGAAATAATTTTGTTAGATTACAAGTTTCAGGGAATGGAACTTGTTTCTCCTTTCAGTATTTTATCTTAGGGAGGTTGACTCGATGGTTAATGGTTGTGGTGTTGGTGTTTGTAAGCATAATTATTCATTGGGAGATGCTTATTTAAGACTAGGTGGATTACTTGGGTCAAGTGCACATTATCATTTTCTTTTCCATATTGAACTTATAATTAGCTGCTATTTCAGCAGCTGAAGTGCCAGTCGGCATTGTTTTTCTTCTTCTTCTTCTTCTTCTTCTTCTTCTTCCCTATTTTATTTTTTATTTTTTATTTTTTTTGATTGGGGATGGGGGATGAGCTTTTAGTATTCAGAAAATTGAAAATATCCAACTCTAATACTGCAGCTGGTATCCTTTGATGTATTACACTACCTAGAAACAGAGAAGAGAAGAAGAGAGGAGCAAGAGGGATGCGAGAGAGAGAATTTGGAGAAGGAAATTTACCAGACACTGAAAACGGAAAATTTCCTAATTTTGAACATAATAAATATGAAAAGGAAATAAATAAATTACAAGAACCTCCCTGAAAATAAATCCTATTTTCTTTTCCTAAAATAAGTATCGAAACTTGGTAAATCTTAACATCTATTGGGATCTCTGTCGCCAATTTTCCTCTCGTTATGGTTTGCTTTCAAGAATAACAGTTTGGAAGACTGTTATTATGTTTGGGGGTCAATTTAATAATCATAGTAATCTTCTGAGTGCTTATAGCTAGACGGTGTTGCACATGGATAAATGCCAAGGAAAAGCTAAATTTACTCCCATGTTACAAGGGTTGTTGGTCTTTGTTATCTACATTTCTTCTATAATGACCTGTGCTGATGGGGGTAACTGTTCAGGCAGTATGTGCCATATACTTTTTTAGCTATTTATTGATCCACTACTACTGTTGAACCTGCACGGTGGTATGGTAATTTATTTATTGGGAGCTCAGTTCAGACAAGAACTGTGGAAAGTTTGACAGACTCGAGTTTGAGATTGCACCAGTTTTTATAATGATGTCCATTTGTCAGATATGTACTTGTAATTAACTTTTTACATCTGGGCTGGTTCAAAATTCAGGTTGTGGCTGCAGAGAAAGCAACTAAGGGTGGGTTGCACGAAAAACTAACCATGACAGTTGCAGTGCCATTGCTATGGGGAGTTCCTCCAGCTTCTGAGACTCTTCACCTTGCTGTTCGGAGTGGTGGAGGGATAGTAGACAAGGTCTATTGGCAATGGGACTTCCTGTAAATAAATGACTAAGCTTTTCTAACCATTTGTTTGTGCATTTGTAAATAAATATCTGTCAGCTACTTTGTACAAATTCTGGGAAAGTATATAACTGTGACACTTGATGTTAATATCCTTCCGTGTATCATTTTATTTTGTATCTGGAATCTTAAATGTATCATTACGCTTGAGAAGAATTATCAAACTTGAATGACTTAAATATATTTATGTATTTTAAATAAAATGGGACCTCAGTAGTTGAGACAAGATGCTATAGTTATGAACAAAGCATCACAATATATCAAAAATTACATGGTTGCATTACGTATGTGTTAAGAATATAGTTGTTTTCGATTTTTTAGGAATGAATCACGCACGAAAATAATAAATAATAAAGTTTCAAATCCAGTTGTTGCTGAAATTATTAGTGTAATCCAGCTGCTTCATCACTTCAATACTGTAGTCCAATGAATCTTCATAAAAACATATATTAGTTGGATTCTCACAAACATATCCATTGAGTGAATCACCATTTTTAGCAAGCTTCAACTTGGTATTTTCATCAATCCCACTGCTGAAATGGCTGGAGAATCCATGATCATACTCTACTACCTCTTGGCCATGGCTTATAATGTGGTTGGTAGTGCAACTACCATCAGATGAACTACAACTAGCTTCACCTGATCCAAAGATGATCAGACGGCTATCATTAATCTGATTATTATGCATGGAACCCACACCCACATAGCCATCTTGAGGTTGGAGGGCAGTACTGGCTGAATGTGGAGACTCTACTGATGAATTGTGATGAAGTGAATACGTTATAGCTTGGGGATGGTTTTTCTGCAGCATAGCTGGCACCAGCTCCAGAAGGAATTTCTTCTTGAGCTTAGTGTTCCAATAGTTCTTGATATCATTGTCAGTTCTGCCTGGTAACTGACCTGCTATAATTGACCACCTGCATTTTGAGTTTTGGATAGAAACGAAAATCGTTGTCGTCAGCTCGTGCCGTAATATATTGAGTCGAGTCCCATTACGAGCTTGGAAAATAAGGTAAAGAATGAGAATATTGGTAGATGATAATACCTGCTTCCAATACTAGCAAAAAGGCTGCAAATTATTCTGTCCTCATTATCTGTGAATTCCCTGTGCTTAATATTAGGTCTGAGATAGTTCAACCATCTCAATCTGCAGCTTTTCCCACATCTTCTGAGCCCTACTCATGCCAAAAATAATGAATCATCTCATCTCATCTAAATGCTTAAACCATTATAAGAGAGAGGGAAAACATTCACTTGCAGGTTGGATTCATTTTCTATAAAAAAAGGTGATGCGGACACAATTTTCACATAGGTAGCAGTGAGACTTGAACACAAGTCTTTTGCCTATTCTGATGCTATATTGAACGTCCTAATCTAAAAGTTCAAATTTTTAGAGAGAAATGCATATATAAGTTTCTGTTTTCAGCTAAAATGGACAGAAACGAATAGAAGAATTCAAGCAAAACAACAGATTAAACAAAAAGGATCATGCAAAACAAGGGAGACAATTCAAAATGGAAAATTCCCATGCCAGCTTTTTGTGGGAGAGTTGTCCAATTCCCTTCAGTGCCATTCTTCTCCATGTATTCCTTCAGCTTCCAGTCTTCTTCAGGAGTCCAATGCCCTTTCTTTACATTTGCCTTGACACAGCAAGGAGTTCTTCCCATCTCTCTCTCTCGACTTCTTTCAGAGTTCTATCTGATGTTTGTGTGGTATTAATTTGTCTTCTTTTCTATAGAAAGACTTGTTCAGTACAATATTGTTGTGAGTGATACACAAGTCAAAATGCAGAAATATCTCAATTGTCAATTCAGTGATTAGCTAAGGGAGCTTTCTAGTTTCTATAATAAATCTACACCATATGCATTAGAAACAGTACTCTCAATCTGCCCTGTTTTTCTCATAAAGAATCCAAAAGACTTTAGCCAATTAACGGCATCCAATTCAAAACTAACAAGCACTGGTCATGGTTTCATTTTTGTTGCCATTCCATGTTTCTAGATGTTCAAACCTGTACTTGTCAAACAATGTTTCTATGGCAGTAGAATCTTGACATGTTATGCATGCAGATGCCTGTGTTTTAGGTTTCAAGCTACTTTTCGAGGTCGGTAGACAAAATTTAATAAATTCACACTCTTTGTTTAATAGCTTAAACTTTTAAATGTATTATTTTAACTGTTCAAATTTTGGTTATATGAAAATTATGTTTGTCAGCACCGTATAAAAAATGAATTTGGTCTAAAAGAAAGCGATCGTATAGAATTGTGTGGTAGCAATGTGGATGGACCGGACGAGATTGACTCGCTAGATCCGATTCAAGCCTGATATGGATTTGTTAGGACTCATTTAATATTATGGTTCGTGCTAGACTTGGAACCCTTTTCAGATTTGAGGGTCAGACCGGCCTATGGACTTGCCAATGGTGGGTCGGGCTGGTTGGACCCTCCCATCTTTAAAGTTTATTTTTTATTTTATTATTATTATTATTTTTTGAATACCAATGCGATATAATTGTCACAATTGGAGAAATGAATATTGAGGGACACATGAGAGATTGTGTAAAAATAAGTATTTTTAACTAAAAATTGATTTTAAAAGAGGGAAAAAAAATGTATACCGAAAGAAGGTCATCTTGGTTCCGAACAACCAGTGTAGTCCATATTGACACCACTATAGAAGACAATTTTTCAATGAATGTACAACTTTCTCCAATAACTTAAACTTTTAAATGATACTGTTAATATTCTAGTACGTAGACAATTATCATGACACAAGGTCGTCCATTTTACCATCCAATTGGCTGGCTAAAATTATGTATTAACTACTAACAGAAAATCCTTTGCCCCCTCTCTGCCTTTGTGGAAATTTAACGTAGTATTTCGTATATTAGTGCATGTTTGACAAAGTTTATAATTGCTTGTAACTTGCACAACTCCATCTTTATCCAATACATATTGTAGGATAACAACAACAGTCAATGCACTTCATTTGTTCACAAGACAAATATCTGAATTCAAAATACATCTTCACAAACATAGAAACATCTGTTTTCAATTGAAAACCACTAAGAAACATTGTATATAATGTTATCACCCTCATCCAAGGTGCAAGCAATAGCATGAAATACAGAATTTCCGATAAGTCCCATCTTCTACATGTACACGTTCTTTTTTCCAAATCCATCGCAAATTCTCCGTATTAACACTCAACCTAGCATTGATATACCCCATTAAATCTCAAGATGCATTCATGGGCAACTTCCTTTATATTTAGGACATATTAATCCATTGTAGCATCTTAGCCCCCGTTTGGCCTCCATTCTCATTCTTTTTCTCTTTCTTATTTTCAACCACACAATCTTCCATAAATTAATATTACACACAAATCAAAAACCTTTCATTCTTTTTCAACCACACATTATTAAAAAAAAAAAAAAAAACTATTCCAACCATTAAAATTTGATAAGAATGGGGCCAAACGGGGGCTTAATTTGTCCATCTATACTTGAATTCTATTCATCGGCTTCATCTAAATGTCTACCAACATAGTAAGTATTGATTTCTCCCATTTTCTTCCAAAACAAACTTGTAAAAAAAACCTCACATAGATTGCTAAGAAGCATATCATACTTCAGCATATCTAAAAATTGAATTCCTAGGTGATTTTTTCATCAACCATTTATATATAGGTTTGTGAATACTTTCATGTCCATCCAATATATAAAAGATGCTAAGTGGATGGCCTTTGATGAATCCCACAGACAATCTTTCAGATATTTCCCCTTGAAATCATTTCGCAAAAAATTCTGGTACATATGCCAACGCAAAAACTGTATTCCGCCTCAGAAATAAATTTGAAACAACATTCGTAAGTCCTTTCTATTTGTTAATCATAAAAGTCACATAGTGGTTGTTTGGTATGGATTTTGTTAATTGATTTTTTTGACCGTTAGAGATAAAGTATGTCCTACCTGTGAGAGAAGAATTCAAAAATGACGACTGTAATAGTAAAATAATGATCAAAAAATTGATTTTAATTTACTTTTAATCCCTACCAAACATGCTCATAATACGAATTGTCCATACAACTGAGAAATTATCACAGTTGATCTCCAATTTGTTCTCCCGAACTTTGGGTCATGGTCTATGTCAGCTTCTTCTGAAATTATAACAAGGAAAACAATAATTAGTAAATTCTCAAATTATAAAAATTATTAAATTCTAAAATTAATGTCAACCAAAATATTGCAGATTAAAATAATTTTAACTGTAATAAGAACAGAACAAGTAATTAAAATTGTAGGAAATAATAAAAGAGCGAGTGAACTTTCAAATCGAAGCCTGTGTAAACACAGTTGCATAAAAATAGATTCATCCCCTCACCATAGGTGTTTGAAGTTTAATTGGAGCGTCCGTTTTCCAAGATACAACGAAAAATCAGTAAAACCTGAGCACTATAAACACTACTCTGGCAAGTTGACTTGGTATCCGAACACTATCACCAAGACATTGACAGAAAATAAAATTATGTATGCAGATAGAAGACAAACTTTTATGCAGAGAAGGAAGATTTTCGTGTTTTTGTAAAGGAGGAAGTGACCGAATAAATAGGTTGCAATGGAGAATTAACAGGCCAGGAGTTAACACACCAATCTCTCGATTAACACAAACATAATCACACGAGTTTAAGGAGTCAAGAAAATTTGGAAGGTTTTCATTTGGAAAAATAATAAAATAAAGGCAAAATGTGGACTCTCTTAAGGGCCAATTTTTGCTCAATTTGGTTCGACATTCATTTGCGAATGTCGCACCCGCACACACGTTGAAAGTTATTTTGATTCGTGATTTGCACTCCTACGCACACACGTGGAGAGAGTCTCTATACTACACATAATTACACTATTCCAAAGTGCAATCATATGTAAAGTGGTCATTACCTTTATCTATTTTCCTATTCGAAATAACTTTAAAATAGTTTCCCTCCCAATACAAAATGTCTTCCAATGCATCACTTTGAACTGCAATTTCCCATTTATCCGAACATCATTTTTTGCAAGTAAATATTTGAACTCGATATTCTCAAAAAGGAAAATACAAATGAATCTTGATCTTCCAAAATAAACAAATGATTCCACTCAAAATTTATGTCGAAGTCAGCCCTTCAATTCATTTTTTCCAACCATTAAAACACAAGGGCATACACAGATAACATTTATTAACAAATATGTCAAAGTAATGTTAAGAATTCTTTATAAATAATCTTTTGTTCAATACAGCATAATTAATCTCATTATTTTTTTAATAGAACATTAATTGGATAATAGTGTTTATTATATGCAGCCCCAACAACATATTATAATTATATGGAGATTAGGATTTATTACCTCGATTTTGTCCCTCTATCTCCATTGTCGTCTACTTCAAAAAACAAATGGGCATCCTTGTCAGAGGAGGATGGGAGGAGTTAGGTGGTTTTCTATCCTTGTTTTCTTCCCCTTTAATCAATTATGTAAAAGAATTTTTAATAGATGAAAATAGTTTTTGGTCGATTTGTCATTAGTTAATGGCCATAGTATACCACGTTAGCCCTTACTTTTGTCACATCAACGAATTTGTCAATTTGTCAATTATCATTTGAAAAACGTTTAAACTTGAATGAATGTAAAAAACTACAAAAAATTCAATGATCATATGAATTTTTAACAATTGTATGGTTTTTTTTTTTAGATCCACTAAGATGAGTATCTGACTGTAAATTTCAGGGTTCCGTTAAATTTGTCGAGGTGCGCAAAAATTGATCCGAACACCTACGGTCATTAAAAAAAAAAAAAAACAGGTGTATGGTTAATAAAGTTTTATATTGATCATTAGCAATTGGGGGTTCTAAAGAAATTTACGAAGAAGGTAAATAAAATTGTTGGTATTGATAAAAATTGATGTTTAACTAGTGAGTTATGTTATGTTATCAAATTGATTTTATCATAAATGTGTCAGATTAATACTTAATAGCATTTCATTGTTAGTTGGTTCAAAAATATTTTTCAATTACCAATGAAATACTGCCAAGTATTAATGTGACACAATTTTGATAAAATGGCATAACTCTTAATTAGTTTATATATATTTTTTTAATCATACATTCTCGTAATAAAATATTTTACATATAAATTTAATTTTTTTTCTTCCTCATTCAAAATTTATTTTAATTGTTATTAATGAGGAGCTAATTTGAAAGTCTTGAATTTTAAGAAATCTATGGTTACCAATCATTTTAGTTGCACCAAAGTAAAAAATAACCCCTCAATTGCTTACAGAGTCAGAGTGTATAAATCAAACCTCTCAATGTTGGAAAACGCATCTGATCAGCTCACTCTGCAATTTTATGGCCACCCACCTTTATCACTTCAACATTTTTCACTCTCTCTCTTACAATAAATTCTTATGCTCTTCGCCTCTCAATCTCCACATTCGTCACCACCAGAGGCCCCGCAATTTAACTGTTTTTGCCTGTTCAGTAAAGAAACCCAGGTTTTCATTTACTCAGTTATTCCTATTTTGGGTTTCTTTTAACTGTCCGTATATTTAGCTGTATACACTTATTGGGGCCTGGGGTGGTTATATTTGTTGAAATTTTTATTTCGTTCGATGTTTACTTTTTTGTGTGTGTGGCTGATGCAGAACTAATAGGAAAGGGAAGAGCGATGAAGATCTTTGCAATGATATCAGAGAATTTTTATCCAAGCTTGGACTTCCCCAGTCTCATGTGCCCTCCATGAAGGAGCTCTCACAGCATGGAAGGTTGGATTTTTATGGTTTTCTCTCTGCAATTTTAACTTTAGTTTGTCCATAATTATGGCCGAGAGAGGCGTCAGTGATTTGGAATGTTGCTTGCTGCTAATGAAAACACGGACTACTCAAAATTCTTGATTAATCTGTATGTTAATCATTCTCTAGTGTTTATATTTGCTTTCACTGTTCTGTGCAATGTTACATTTTAGGGATCTGTACTTGTGACTAACGCTACCATGATATGGCACTGTGTCATTTTTTGGGGGGGGGGGGTGGATATAGTGGTTCATGTCACTAATAACAGAACATATTATCTGAAATGCTTAGCAACAATATGTTATACAAATTAAACAATGAAAAAGACAAGGGGAGTGACTTATTTTGAGATCAGTAATTTAGTACAATACTGTGAAACTATTTAAAGCAGCTTTTGTTTTGTTTTGTTTTTGTTTTTGAAACCTTTTTTCTAATTACCTATGTGGTTGTGCTTCATCTTGAAATCTTATACACTTATGAAACTAGCGTAAGTACTTTTTAAAACCTTTTCGAAATAGAGTATAGGAATATAAGATTTCAGCTGAAATCAGATATTAGGATGCTAGTAGTCAGGTGAAAATCTATTGCTTTCCCTGTTTCAGGATTATTTTTCTGTATAGACAGATGATTTGACCACTAAAAGCTGTCTGAATATCTACTAAATCTGAAATTTTCTTTGAGAGAAATGTTCATAAAGAAGTTTCACAATTTCATTTCAGAATTTGCAGATTTATAATTTCAGCATATGGCTGCTGCAGAGTTTGAAGTATATCTGAGGAAAAATAATTGTAAAATTGAGGACGTTGCTTCCATTAATACATTATTTTTCAAGACCAAGTTAAGATATAGCAAAAAAGAAGATACAAGGATGAAACTAGAAGAAAGTGGAGGAAAACTTAGATCTTTTTAATCCTTTTAATGACTATCTAACCGAGAATCTTTTCGTTAAACTTCGCGAGACCTAATTAGTGTTGACACCACCTCTTAGAAACCTCTGAATTAAATCACATCTGTCATTTTCATCTCCTCTCAATATACAACAAGACAATGAAGTAATCAAGGACAGTAAGTATGTGTTTTGTGCGTGTTTAATTCATAATTCCGAGTATTTGCAGGCAAGACCTTGCAAACATTGTTAGACGTAGAGGATATAAATATGTTAGACGTCTTCTTGAGGCATCAACAGAGACAAATGTCAATGGTTCTAATGCAGAGGAAGATTTGACTGGAAAATTAGTGGCACTTGGTAGTTGTGAAGGTAAATCTCTGGCCAATACATCTTCATTATTATATTATTTCTCACTTCATAAAGATTGTGCAATTTAATCTTTTGAGTTGAAACTCTATTGTTGTTTAGTTTCAACTGATCAGAATGAGAAGGTGGAAATTTTGGCAGACGATACTTCCTTATCAAGTGAAGCTATCCAGGAAGATTCTATGAATTACATAGAAACAGATGGACAAGTCAACTCTAATGATCGAAATTTAAACTCCTCAAGTTGTTCAACTAATTTATCATTGCAGGAAAAGGTGGCTCAGTTTATTCAGAATGGGGAGTTGGATATTATTGAAGGTGAGTTGCAGACAAAAAAAATTCATATCTGGTTTTGTTCATTAGGCACTAAAGGTTTACATTATAACATCTGGCACTAAGTCAAGTTGTATTGCCCTATGTACATAAGAAAACAGTTTATTTGAGGGAGATAGGAAAAGAGAAATAGGTCTTAATTGGATTATTATCAAATAGGTTTCTCTGCCTGCCATTTTCAAAACAAGAAAAGGCATAAAACACTTAACTTAAAAAATATTAATTATAGGGAAATTAGAGTCTTAATTGCATTTGTTAGGGAGAATATCAGCGGAGTTTATGAGTGTTGGAAGGTACTTTGGAGTTCATTTAGTAAGTCTCTGTGTTGATAACTTATCTTGTGCATTAGAGGACCATGAATAGTTTTCTAGATCAATTAATTCTTCAGCATGACTGAATCTCTGATCAATTATCGTACAATATCCTTTCGAGTAAATCTATTTTAGAATACATATTAGGTTTTTGTTCTTTCTTTTCCAAGTTTCATCATGTCGCCATCTTTTAGATGTATTGCTGTAGCTTTGATTCCCTTTCGGCTGAGATCTCTTTGAAAAACAACACCTTAGTTGATTGCTGTGCATCATGGGTTGGAATTGTTTTCTGAAGCTTCTATACTATTAATTGAGCTTTTTGCTTGAAGCTCAGATAGTGGCTTTGGGATTACGAAAGAAATAGTTGCAGAAGATGTAGAGGGGGCTATTGGATCAGAGGGCACTCCAAAACCAGAATTGGCTTCCATGATTTCTAGTTCTGGTGGTGCCCAATTGCTAAATGGAAACGCCAATTTGTCACTCCAGAACCAGAAGGTTGAACGTCCTGTATTAGAAAATAGCACTTCCAGGTTTGTTTCAATTCCTTGCAAAAAATCCCTAGGTGTATATTTTGTTGGACAGTTTTGCCAGCATTACTACAACTTGAGTGATGGCCAACAAGAGGGTTGACATATGCTGGCACGCTGTTTGTTCATATACTGCTGAAGGTTCCAGAACTAGAGGGTTTAGGCTTTTAACCTCTCATGATTACTTGTATACAACACGGAAATGGAATTTTTTTTTTGATAGGTAATCAAATAATTTTATTACTTAAAAGAGAATACATGGGGGGTGTACAATCACTTTAAACTATTAAGGAAAAACATGAAATTAGGCAACCCATCTACAGGATTTCTAGTCACAGCATTAAACCAAGAATACAAGGTAAAGTAAAATGTTTCTCTTATCTGCTCTCTTGTCTTTGTTTGGTCTTCGAAGCAACGATTGTTCCTTTCTCTCCACACGCACCAAACAATGCAGCCCGGGATAAGGTGCCATGCTAGTTTGCTATCCTTGTCCCGAAATTTTCGACGCCATGCCCGTATCACGTCCTCTATACGACGAGGCATCACTCAATCCATAGATTGTGAACTGATTATACTGTTCCAAATCCAACGTACACCATCACAATGAATGAACAAATGATCGATCGTCTCCCCATCCTTGTTGCACATATAACACCACTCGGTTGCATAAAAGCCTTTACGACGAAGATTATCCACCGTTGAGACCTGTCCCCTCACAACTGTCCATAATAGGAATGCCACCCGAGGAGACAATTTACACTGCCATACCAACTTCCATGGGAATGAATTATTCACACATCCCAGAGGGAACCAAAGTATGAGCGAACCGAAAAAATGCCATCATGTGCTGTCCTCCACCTGATGCAATCCCTCTCTCCAACCCGAATTTGGACCTCATGTAAAATGGTCATAAACAGCGAATAATCTTCCAATTCCCAATCCTGAAGATCCCTCCCAAAAGTTATATTCTAGCTATAACTCCCATTATGAATGTCTAAGAGATCACTCACTATGGCAGTGGACACTGAGGCAATACGATACAGAGAAGGGAATCTCTCCTTCAGCGGTTGATCTCCGCACCAACAATCATCCCAAAATTTAATCTCATTACCTTTTCCAACCACAAACTTCAGTTTGTCCAAAAATGCACTCCATCCCCGTCGGATATACCTCCACAAGCTCACCCCATAAGAACCACGATCCTCAAATGTACACATCCCCCATCGGTCACACTATACTTCACCCTAATTATTTCTCTCCAGAAACTGTCCCTCTCCTCTCCAAATGGCCACAACCACTTGCCTAATAAGGCTTTATTGAACATCACGAGGCTCCTCACCCCAAGATCTCCCATTCTCATCGGCAAACAAACAACTCCCCAATTGACCAAATGGAGTCTCTTCTCCCAACCCTGCCCACAGAAATTCTCTTTGAAGCCTCTCTAATCTCTTTGCCACTGCAATCGGAATGGGGAACAATGGCAAAAAGCAAGTAGGGAGATTGGAGAGAGTGGATTTAATGAGAGTAAGTCTACCTCCCTTAGAAAGGTACATACGCTTCCACCCTGCTAACCTTCTCTCTATCATTTCCACAATACCATTTCAGATATGGGTACTTTTAAATCGTGCCCCTAGCGGGAGTCCTAGATATGACATCGGCAACTGCGCAACCTTACAACCCAATATATCAGCCAACTCCTCGACATTATTGACGTCCCCAATTGGAATAGCCTCAGACTTTCCCAAATTAATTTTCAAACCAGACACCGCTTCAAAACATAAGAGCAGACGGCGCAAGTTCCTAAATTGTTCTACATCTGCATCACATAAAATCAATGTGTCATCTGCAAATAACAAATGAGACACCTGCAATTGATCAACCATAAAACTCCTTATCAAACCCGCTCTCACTGCTCTTTCAATCATCCTACTGAGAGCCTCCATCACAATGACAAATAACAATGGGGACAATGGATCCCCTTGTCTCAAGCCTCTACTGCTCCGGAAATAACCCTTTGGTGTTCCGTTGACCAAAACTGAGAATGAAACAGTAAAAATACAGAATTGAATCCATTTACACCATTTATCCCCAAAGCCACAGCACCTGAGCATATATAACAAGAAACCCCAATTCACATGGTCGTAAGCCTTCTGAATATCTAGCTTACAAAGCATCCTTGGGGCCCTTAGGCGCATTCTTGAATCTATGCATTCATTCGCTATAAGCACAGAGTCCAAAATCTGACGCCCTTTTACAAATGCATTCTGAAACTTGGACACTACTTTTTCCAATACCTCCTTTAATCTGTTTGCCAGGACTTTCGAAATAATCTTATACACCCCGCTGACAAGACTAATGGGGCGAAAGTCCTTAATATCAGTCGCTCCCGATTTCTTAGGGATGAGCACAATAAATGTGGCATTAGAACTTCTCTGGAATCTGCCACGTTCAAACAAATAAGATAAAGTATTCACAATATCCAGTCGAACCACATCCCAACACGTTTTGTAGAATGAGAACGAGAAACCGTCGATCCCGGGGCCTTATCATCGTTCATGCTGAAAACGACCTCCTTAATTTCATCCTCCCCAAATGGTCTCTCCATCCATCGGGCATCATCCTCATTGATTGTAGAAAAGTGCAATCCCTCCAATTTTGGCCTCCATTCAAATTGCTCCCGATAGAGGTTTTGATAAAAATTAATCAGTTGGCTTCCAATTTCCTGTGGTTCCTCATAAGTAACCCCGTCCACCTCCAAAACTGTGATGGAGTTGTTCCTCCTATTAGAATTGGCGACCCTGTGGAAGAATTTAGTGCATTTATCCCCTTCTTTCAACCAAGTAACTCTAGATTTCTGTCGCCAATTAATCTCCTCCATCTCCGCCAACCTCTCCATCTCTTCCTTTAATCCTCTATGTCTCTCATTCTCCTCCCAGTCAACCCCTGACTCTCCTCCCGCCTATCCAATTCCTCTATCTCTGACAGACACTGATTTTTACTGTAGTTAACATTGCCTACAACTTCCTCATTCCATTTCTTTAAGTCCCCTTTCAACGCCTTTAGCTTCTGATCCAATACAAAATAGGGAGACCCACTGACTTCATAGGAAGTCCACCACGTCTGTACTCGCTCTCTAAAACCTTCTCAAACCTGAAAGGTCTTCTTCCACCACCCCTTCTATTCCCCGATAACATAATAGGAAAATGATCCGAGTATACCCTCCCCAATCTTCTCTGAGTGACATCTGAATATTTAGACTCCCACTCCCCACAAATCAAGAACCTATCAATACGAGACAGAACGGGTCGATCCCGATTGGATGACCAGGTAAAATCTCCTCCAATCATAGGTAAATCCACCAACAAATTCTCCCTAATAAAATCTGAGAACTCCTCTATTGTCCTAGTTAGTCTCCCACCACTCGACTTCTCCGAAGGAAATCGAATCACATTGAAATCACCCCTAATACATGTAGGGAGATTCCACCAAGCCCTCATTCCAGCCAGTTCATCCCACAAACCCACTCTACTGTCATCAGAATTAGGCCCATAAACTCCTGTGAACATCCACCGAAATCCATCCTCACAATTTTTGAAAGAAATCGATATAGAGAACACCCCTATACTCACCTCCTTCATCTCAAGCACTCTAGTGTCCCACATCACCAACACGCCTCTTGAAACCCTTGATGACCCCAAAAATTGATATCCAACATGATCTCCCCCCCATAAACTACGAATCACCGCCCTCGAGATAAACTCCATCTTAGTTTCTTGTAGGCAAACAAGACTTGCCCCCCATCCCCTTAGCAAATGACGAACACCAAGCCTTTTACTAACCTCATTGAGACCCCTTACGTTCCAGTAATGAGTTTTGGCATCATTATAACACTCCATAACCCCTCCCCATTGTTTCTTTCTTGGATTCGCCACCCTTACCAGCATAGTTTACTGACCATTCGAGCCTCTTAAGTTCACGATCACTCTTTTTTCTTAATTTACTTCCATGTGTACTGATGTCTTGTCCCCTATTAGCCTCCAGTTCCTCGAATAATTGTAACAATCTACTTTCATACCCATCACATGACACGCCAACCAACTTACTAAATTCCTGAATTTTTTGTAGCACCCAGTTTGAAGGTGGGTGACCAACTTCTAACACATCAGCTCCTGAAGTATCCTCACCCTGATAGCCCTCGAGATGATCAAAGGACCGTTCTTTCTCTACTACCACTGGTATAATGTCACTGTCACTTTCTCCTTTCTTGGCACCACATACCCATAACACCAAAGCTTTTTCGGTCCCCATATCGTTATCTTTTGTCCTCCTATTATAAATGTTCGTAATCCTTGATGTCGTCTGTGTATCGTTGTTTTCTTTCACTGTGTCCATTGACAATTTCTCCAAGTTCATCATACTGAACTTCCCTTCCTTAGACAGCGGTTCCTCTTCTTGTTCAACTGCAATCCCTGTGTCTACTTCAGTTCGATTGACCCCCACAAAGTCAACCCCGTCATCGTTTTCATGGTATCCCGCTTCCATCCTCACCTGAGAATCACAATGTTCATCTCCTCCCTGCTTTGCATGTTCTGTAATTGGTGGTAGTTCCTCATGAGTCAATCCCGGTACGTGTATTTCATCGGTTTGATCCTCATCCAACTCAACCCCACACTTGTGACAGCGTACCAATTTCATGGGCTCCATTTCAGGCCCGCTTCCAACCAATCTAAGTAATTCATCTATTGCTCCTTTCAACTCCTGCGCATGGGTCATTATTTCAGCCCTACTCAAACAAATTTCGTGACCTTCGTTATCACCGACTTTATTTCTTCTTTCCTTTTGCTGAAGCATCCGTTGGTTGGCATTCTCCGAGGTCTGTGAGTTTGCTGTAATTTCTGCATAAGTCATCATTTGTCTGTTTCGTTCAATCATCGTTTGTCGTTTGGCCTTATCCCTAGCAACAAATGAGTCAACAACTATTTGAAATACTTGCAAGACCGACGCCCATCCCTCTCCATTTACACCTTCTGGTATCATGACAACTCCTTTCCGATGCCTCTCCGCATATTGTGCTATCATTAAATATCTGCCTCGATGGTTCACACACCGTTGTGCCAAGAAAGCTCTTGAAGACTCATTGAACTTAAAAACACATTCCTCAACTTCTTCTCTTCCTCAATCTGTCTACCATATTCACCATCCAAATAGCACCATACCTTCCTATAAAGATTGAATCCGATGACTTCGAACCCCATTCTGTCAACTTAACAGTGCCAGAATCGTTAATAGATACTGCGAAGTCCTTCGCCTCCACTCTGAAACGATGATTGAATACCAAACTACGCACATCCGTCAATTTTTTCCCTATGTATTAGGAATTCATCAAATGGAGGAACGGACAAGCCGATTGATCTCGGGGCAGCAAGCTGCCCGGCGGCGGCACGTGGACCACACGCGCCAGCAGACGCGAGGTCGGAGCTGCGCGTGTGGGAGGCAGGAAACCGGCAGGGGTCGCCGGTCCCTGCTGAGGCCGCCGGTGAGGCGCGTCTGCTCGAAATCTGGCCGGATCTGGTGGAAAACGGCTGGGCGGCGCTAGGGTTTCCACAGTAGACTGCGCCTGTGTGTGAACTGGGTGGTTGGAGGGGTTGATTTGTGGCGTGAGGCCGGTTGTGTGGTGCCTACTGGACCGTTGGTCGCCGGCGCCGGTAGTGTGGGGGTGTGGTGGCTGGGTTATTTTGGATTGTGAGGGGAGCTCCATTTCTCAGGTTTCAAACTCGTTCACGCCGAGACAACACGGAAATGGAATAATATCAAAGTAATCTGGATATGGCAATTGGATTAAGATTTGAATTTATTTATTTATTTATTTTTTTAGTTCCATTTTATCTTTGCTTTTTTTGTGCTTTCCAACTTGGTATTATTAGGATGTTTTAATCCCACTTTGCTTATTTATTTGAAACTTCCATTCTTATTTGACTCTCGTTTTTATTATGTTTGTAGAAATGGCTATATGTCAACTCACGAAGTGAAAAATGTTGATAGTAACAAGAATGAAGATCTTGAGGTCACTATATATCACAGTTATTCGGTTTGAGTTATACATTTGTTGTAAAAATTTCCATGTCATTAATGATTATTTTAATAACTTTTCATCCTTTTTTGATAGACCCAAAAAGTCGATAATCAAGCTGAAGTTAAGCGCTTGAAGTTCATGCTGGTATGCTCTCTGTCTGATTACATGTTATATAGTACTATGTAAGCCAACCTTGCTTGTACCGATGTTGTTTCTCAAATTTTTCCAAAGAAATAACAAGTTTTTTCCCAATTTTTTTTCAAAATAATAACTTAAGTGCGTTATTTTCGCTGTACTTAGCATCAGAAGGAGTTGGAATTGACTCGGTTGAAGCAGCAGGTTGAGAAGGAAAAGGTACTTTATTTCATCTGACTACGAATTGGATGTTGCTCTTTGCCTATAAAGTTGATAAAAGAAAATGGCTTTCTTTCAATATCTTTAGCAACATATAGGCATGTTCAGTTGCAGAAGTTTATAGGAATTTTCTAGTTGTGAAAGTACCTAAGCAATCTCCGTTTTGTTTTTGCATTCCAGCTTGCTTTGTCTGCTTTGCAAACTAAAGCAGAAGTGGAGATAAGCAACGCACATAAACTTATTTCAGAAAAAGATGCAGAATTATATGCCGCTGAAGAAAGCCTCGCTGGATTGAAGGAGGTACTTTGTTTTCTCTTCTACTTTTGACTTTTTGTTGAGTTTATGTGAAGGCTCTTGACCCCATGACTGGTTGGTCTATACATGAAATTTGGCTTAAATGCTGTTAGCTTGTTGCATTACTTGGTCCTGGATATGCTCTAAAAAAACTTTCACAACTTGTTACAGCTTGGTGATTAGAGCAAGACCCGATTAACCATTTTGTTAGTGATAAATTAGGCATTCTTTATTATTTCCTTGATGTAAAATAAAAATGCTGAAGGATTGCCTTTCGGAAATAACTTTCTTTCTTGACAGGTTGAAATTGAGTATTCAGGTGATGGGGAAACCGTGGAGCTAGCTGGTAGCTTCAATGGTTGGAATCATTGGATTAAAATGGATCTACATCCACCATCAAGTATCATAAACCCCATCGTATCAAGGTTTTTGACTTTTTCTTCTTTTTATAATTTAACCGCTAGCCACTTTGTTAGCTTTTTGTTTTTGATGATTGATAGAAACTAATCACTTAATTTATATGCTATTTTAGGTTGTTAATTGTATGATGCTTTTATGTTCTTTTTCCTTTCCATGTCCAAAGAGATTCATTTTTTTCACATACTTGGTAACATCTTAGCTTGAAATTTCTGACTAAAATTTTTGGCCAATATGTATTCTCTTATTAACATGAAAGAACATGCCACTTTTCAAGTTGGCTATTGACCTTTATGTAACTATAAGGCTAGTTGATGTTGTTATTTATGAATATAGTAAATGTTGCCCAAGCTATATAGTGCACTTTAAAAATCCGTAAGAATTTTTCCTCTGTTATTCACATGCCATGTTAAGAGCTAAATTAGTTTATTTGTTGGGTATTTATTTTTAAACGATAACACCCATATATCATTGGTTCATTGAGGTCATTGTGAAAGATCTAGTGACAATAAGCATATGTGCTTAGATCTTGCCTTATTTATTTTTATTTTAATATTGAGAAGATTGCATCTTTTGGATATGTTGCTTTCAAACGTGGTTTCCTTCATTGTGTAATTTTTATATTCGAACCTTCCAGAGAATGTTTTGCTCATCTTCCCCATCTATCTGTACACTATCATATACAGAATGATGTACAAATAACATTAATCTTGAATATTAGTTTTGTCATAGTGACAACATTTTTGGATATGGTATGAAAATTACCAGTTGACTTTACTAAATCACTTTGTCAGGAAATCCCAGATTTGGAGAACAGTGTTGTGGCTTTATCCTGGGGTATATGAGGTGCGAAGGCTACAAACTGATTGCTTGTGATAATTTCTTTTTCCTGGTTATTTTTAGAGAATAGGTTGCCTGAATATATCTACTTCCAGTAGGATAAGAAATGTTGCCTTTCTTCTCCTCGGAGTTTGGCACGGATCTTGAAGCCAACTCAACTTTGACCTTTTACTGGGAAGTTTGGTTCTGAAGAGGCCGACAGAGATGAATGGTCTATGTGAACAAAAAGAATGAAAAATTGTCATATTTGTATGAGGATTCCCCAACCTATTTGTACAGTAGCAACTTGCAAGTCCTGAACCTTTATTTTTGGCAAGATTAATCCACCACCTTTCATTTTGTAGCAAATTGGTCCCCATTTGACGGTTTCCATTTATTTTGATGATTAAACATCATGTGATATTTGCATGACTCACTTTTTGAAGGATAAAATGATTAGACACTTAATTTTAATAAAACATGAATAAAATTGAAAGAAAAGGGCAAGAGGGAAAAGGGAAATGGAAAAAAGGAAGAGAAAAATGAAATGCCAACCACACCCTACATCCCAACTTCTGCCCCCCAAACCCTCTTCTAGTTGCCCCACCTGAATCCCATTCCCAACCCTCCTGGCTCCTCTCCAAGGCGCCCCTCCTCATCCGAGCCCAACTCCTCCCCCTGATAGTCACTGTCAACCTCTGATGCTCTGGCACCACCATGACCCATGGAACTTTGTGAAAACAAACAAAATTCTCCAATACAATGAGGAAAAAGAATTAAGTTTAAAAAATTTCTTTAACAATATACACAAGAAACACTTGAATAGTATGAGATTAAATGCAGGGAAACCCGACCCTCTCTCTGAAAGGCTGATGGCAGAGCTAAACAAGAAAATCACATGAAAATGCGAAAGCTAGAAGTTGGCGTAGCTTTGAGCTAACCAATGAGTACAAACTTCAGCACAAATAATTTAGCAATCTACATAGATATACAACATGTATTCTTCTAGGGTCTGGAATGACGCGAGCAATAATCGGTGGTGTTGGTTTAGGGAAGCAGCTGGGTGTAGTTTTTATTCCTTTCATTTTCCCACCTCATTTTTCCTTTTCTTTTTCTATTTTGTTATCTTCTTATTTTCTCTTACATTTAATTCCATTAGAATTAAGAGTTTATCCATTTTACCTTTCGAAATTTGAATCATGTGTGGTTCTCTTTAACGAAAAACGAACTGAAACAGTCCAGTAGAGACCAACTTTCTATGAAAGTGAAACGTTGAGGATGACTCCTGCCAAAAAAAGGATTGGTTTACATGTTATATTTCAAATAGGTTGAGGACCTAGCTATGATTTCCTACAAATTTATAACTAAACTTCATGTCTGTAGGTATAACAAAGTTGAAATATCAAATGCTGTAGTTATTGAGGGACGACAGAAGGATATTAAAACTGGCTTTTCAAAATCGTAAAACTTTCATATCAAATCCTGTCATTGAGTTCTCTGATATAAGCAGTAAGAAACATTTTGTTGGTTTCGTCTTATATAGATCCCTTGTTTATTTGCAGATAAAGTTCATCATTGATGGTCATTGGAGAATTGATCCTGAGAAGGAGTCTATTAACAGGGGCACCGTCCATAACAACATACTTCGAGTTGATAGATGATTGGACTTCTGCGCGAACCATATCTGTCTTGTGTATACCAATAAAGGTACTTGGCAATTTACTTCTTACAAATAGATTAAAGTATAAGAACATGTTTGACTAAGCTTAAAGCGAAGCAAAGGTTACTTTTAAGTAACTTCTTGTTTTCAAAGTCATTTTTTTCTTACTTTAAGTAAAAAAGTTACTTTTAAAAGTAATTGTTACCTTACTGCCAAATAAGTATTTTTTGACTTCTCAATTTAACCATCTTGTACTCAAACCTTAGAATACACTTCCTCAGTTCGTTGATTGATTTTATATTATGAACATACTTTTTGTTTACATATACTCTTCCGACCTTTGCATAATTTATGTATAGTACATATGCAACCTCTTATTCAGAATCCATAATGTATCTGCATAAAAGTTTCTCAGCGAATAGATGCAAATATTTTTAATATTTATGTGGGAAATTGCACCATTGGTTACCAACCATTCTAGCATCAAGTTGGTTTTCAACACTGTAGTTGCACAGTTAGTTCTCAATGATGAAAATATCCAAATTTCAATTAAATCGTCACGTGCTCACGTGTCAAATTTCATGAAACTAGATTTTTCTTTCCAACTTGGTCGGTGCTATGAAATTTGAAGTGAGACATGTTTCATGAGGGCCACGTGACTTTGGGGCCTGATTTTGCAACTATAGTGAAATATTGATGACCAACTTGTTGATGGAGCTATAGGTTTGGAACCTATGGTGCAGTTTTCCCTATTCATGTTATATTGCTTCTAATATATTGATTGCTAAGCATTCTTTTCTTCTCTTTTTTGCCTTTTTTCTTTAGGTGACCAAATGGACTTGTAATGACAAACGACTTGCAATCTTGTGCTGCGAAGAAAATGATTAAGTTCTTGAAGTCCCATGTAAGAGCAGATGCAATCTGGTCGAGCAGATATGTACTTCAGACAGCCATCTTGCAATGTTGATGATGAAAGGTTGGCGCTTTATGATCTAAAATATTTAATTTACTTTTTTGCCGTTGCATTACCCATAATTAAAATCATATATTTCTAGGATTAGATGGTTGTATCATTATGGTTCTGACTGCTCTGTAATGGAAAATTTTGGTCGGTTCAACTAACATTTCTGCTATTTGGTACATGTATTGCTGATCCCTTTGTAGCGGGAACTTCACACTTAAGATCCTCACATGTTTTAATTATAACTATAGAAGAAATCTGATCGATTGGGCCACCAGCAACCATGTGAAACTCAAAAAAAGTAGAACAAGAAAGAAGGATCGTTAAAGATCTAAAGTGGACAACAGTGTAGTGTTGGTCGAAGGAAGACTTTCCAACGAGCAAGTTCATAAAGTTTGTCGAGATTCATGAGTGCTATAGAGAATGTAAGAAATAGTAGTTTAGAGGAGATGGAGTATACCTAGATGTCTGAATGACAATGAAATTTATATGGGTGAGATAATCGCCTGGACGGGATTAGTTGGGATTCCTCAAGATTTGTGGTTGGTTAGAGTTGAATTTGATCAAATCTATTCGGTTGAAATATAATGCATGTTTATAGATAACTCATGTTAGACTTGGTCAAATCATAGCATGATATATCTTGACTGTTTGAAGATAGAATATCGAAAGTTTTGAGCTGATCCGCAGGTCTTGGATCGTGACTCGGGTCGGTAGCATTTATGAGTTGGGCCAAAGATGGCATGTTAATTAAGTGGGCATGTTTTAGGCCTCATTTCATGACTTGGGCTGCTTGGGCTGGTGGAATAATTTTTACCACTACAATTTGTCACACACTCTTTAACTCGAGTTCTAGAAGTAGTTTAGACGTTGATACGATCTTTCGTAAAATGTAAATGACGTTTTGTAAAAAAATAATCAAAAATAGGACGGGCTCAGGGTTGATCGGACTCTTAGTTGAGAGCGCACTCTAAATCACAGGATGAACCACTTGACCGTATAGTTTGGGGTGTTTGTAAGATTTTTTGTGATCGTGGGTGTAGATCATTCAACCATTAAATCTACTATGATCGTCCAGTACTTGAGAGCGACATGTTGACGGTATTAAGATGAAAGGGGCCAACACAAATGTATTGACGAAAATATAAAAATCTAATTTTCACGGCAAGCGTAAAATGAAATCGTAACAATATTACTATGATAACTTTTCGATAAGAAAAATTAATTTTTGCGGGCTAAATAAATTTGTTAGAAAAGTTTCGAATTTGGCATTATAACGGGTGAAAATTAAAAAGTTTTGCGCGGTGAGGTAGGATGATAGTGTGGTAACTTGGAAATCGCACGACTTCCAAAATTTGGGATATGATCTAGGGGTGGACAAAATGTCCTGATCAGGTCAAACCAAATTAGAACCAAACCAAACCAAGCGGTTCGGATCGGTTCTATCAAAAAAATTAATGGTTTTGGTTATTCAAATCGAGAATCATTTGGTTTTGGTTTTGGTTCAGTTATAGTTCAAAAACTAGAACCAAATTTAATATTTATTTTTATATATAATAATTATTGGAAGTCCTAATTTTATATTCATTCGAGATAGCCCATTAATTGAACACAGTTTATTAATCAATTTTGGGTCATTAGAGATAAATAACTCATTAGTTGTTTACACCCTAATTTTGTATTCAATTGAATTATTTCTCTCACTCCTTTTCTATTTACACAATGTCACAGCATATTGGTACCGTATTTCATCAAGTCAGTGGAGTATAATTTAAGATCGGAAAATGGAATTGGTCAATTACTTAAAAAATCTCTACTCTTTTTTATTTTTACATTGATTGTATGATGAGTTATTTGTGTTCTTCACAAATAGAGGAAAACCGAATAAACATTCATGAAATATTAAACGGTTAATATTGCCTATAGAAGTTGATTGTAGAAATTTTGATAATTCATTCTTTATTGTAGGGGTGTGCCTTCAAAACTACTACAATTAATTTAGTGAATCATTGTTATTACTTATTAAACAATTTTTTGTATGAAAACGAAAACTGATTTGTGTATTCTAATTATGAATATATTTTATTTGTTAGCTATAACTTTTTTGAGCTCGATGATTGAAATTTGAACTTTCTAAATGTTTGATGTTTATTTTTTTATTTAGGTATACATTACTAATTTATATGATGCAAATCTAAAAATTTAAGAAATGAAATTAGAACAAAATCAAATCAAACAACACCAGAATCGTACGGTTCGGTTCAGTTTGGTTTCATATCTTTAAAAAAACATTTCATTCCATTATAAAAAAAATCATTGGTTCATGGTTCGATTCAATTATCTTGAAATCAGAATCATATGGAATCATGTTTACCCCTCATCGCATGACTTTTGAGTCGTGCGGTATTTGGAAATTACTGCATGGCTCCAAAAGTTATACGAATTTTTAGGAGATTGTTGCATGGCTTTCGAGACGAGTGGCGTTTGTCGCCATACGCAAGTTTTGCGATGTGGCGGCAAGGGGCATGCCGCTTGGCTGCATGCATGTATAAAAGTGCATGTTTGTGATGCATGCACCTATCACCACTCGACAAGTCTGTTGAATGGTGAATTGACACATTTTTTTTTTATTATGTTGCAAAATTTTCGATCTGACAAGATCGTTCGGCAATGGTCGCTTAGAGTATTGGTTGATTGGTAAACGTATCCATCCAAATGGTTGAGTGCTCACATTTGATTGATAATTTTGTATAAATTTTTAAGTCATTTCTTTAGTTCGTTTGGCGTGCCTATTTTCACAATTTTACTGGGAAATACATGGAAATAACCCAACTAGAAGAGGCCATTTTTCAAATTGGCTCTTGACTTTTCCAAACATTTGTAACTACCTAAAATACCCTTAAACAAATATTAAAAACAACATATTTCATAATAAAAATCTTCTATCTAAGTCCTTAAAAAATTAACAAGTAATTTTTCTAAAAATTTGAAAGAATTATTAATGAATAATTATAAAATGAAAATACCCAAATATAGAAATTGATAAGATAGGATATCAAGAACAATTATATGCATCACAAGAATATTAAAATGTTTCAAAGAAAACTTATTAGAAAATTTTGCTAAATGAATTGTAAGATCAATAATCATAAAAGATATACAAGATATCATAGATAAATTAGAAAAAATGGAGAAAAATATCTCAAAATACGATATACCTTTTAGAACAGACATAGATATGATAACAGATATTGATATTATAAATTCTCAGACATTACTAGATTTTGAAGAATTACTTAAAAATTTATGAGAAGGCCAATAAAAAATAGATTACTACAAGCATATAAAAAATTAGTTTTTAACCTAACCTTAAGATTTTATATACGCTTAATAACAAATAAATTAACTAAAACAAAAATAAAAGAATTTTTAGAATATTAGAATAATAGATTATTAGATTTTTGTTCGCTCATAGTAGCACCCATCCAGTTGGTATCAGAGCCATAGAGATCATGAGAAAATATATAAAAATAAATTACCTAAAAGATATTAAAAATAAATATAATTAATCATTGAAAAGATAAAGAAAGACTCAAAAGTTTATGATTTTAGAAATTATTGAAACTTATAAAAATAGACTAAAGTATCAGGTAAAATATAGTTCTAATATAGAAGGCTATATAGAAGAAGATAATATAATTGGAACATATAGTAAAGACATAAAAGAAGTATTAGAAATTTTT